CCCTTATATATTATTATACATCAAATTTGGTTGTGTTTTTGTTGTTGGTTCTGTTGCTGTTATTGCTGTTGTTATTTTTGTTGTTATTACTGTTATTATTGTTGTTGTTGTTGTTATTAATATTATTATTAGTGTTGTTGTTGTTGTTGTTGTTGTTGTTAATAATGTTTAAAGTGCAATCGTCATTAGACCAGAGAGCTAGAGCCCAATTCAACATGCAAGGCCGACTATTAATTTGTAATTTCAATTGCGACAACTACGCTTAAGTGAATCTTCTTGACTCATCATATCACCGGCGAATTATAAACTTGTTGCGAATATGTGTGGCAGTTGTTGTTGTTGCTGCTGCTTGAAATTGTTTTCAACGTTTTTCAACGAATTTTCAACTGTTAAATCTTCGTTGAATACATTATCGGTGACGTCATTCTCGTCAGAAATTATTTTGTTGTTGTTGTTGTTGATGATGTTGTTTTTATTTTGCAGCATAAAGAATGGGTTTGTTCCAGCATACGTTGATAGCATTCGTTGGACGTTCAGCTGGTCTGCTAACATTAACGATTGGATGATGTTGTTGTTGTTGTTGCTACTGATATTGTTGTTGCCATTGTTGATGTTGTTGTTTGAACATTTAGAATTTATATTGTTGATGTTGTTGCTGTTAACGTTAACGTTGTTGTTGTTAGTGTGGAGGTAGTTGTCTGCAATAAGAGTGGAATTTGTTGACTGTGGGATAGAGAGTGAGAGGGGGGTTGATGGTGGCATGGAGAGAGATGTGAAGTTAGGGAGGAGGGGAAGGTTTGGTGGGGGTCTCTGCAAGAGATCACTGCCCCCGTTTGGATGGAGAAATGCTGGAAAAGAAAATGGCGAATACATAGCTGCCGCTGCTACAGCAGCGTGGAAGTGTTGCAGCTGCTGTTGTGCCTGCTGGTGATGTTGTTGTATAAGAAATTGTTGTTGCTGCTGTTGTAAAGTTTGTTGTTGTTGTTGTTGGAAAAAAGTTGCTTTGGCATCATCTTCCGCATCGTCATTCAACTGTTCTCTGCTCTTCGTATCAAAACCATAGAGCCCGTTAACAATATTTCCTTTATTTAAAAAGTTATAAGTAAAATTTTGCGTCTGCTGAGTTGCAGGATTGAA